AAAATCTAAACCAAATGGATCCAGCAGCTTTACAAAACTTGGCAGCTGCAATAACTCAAGCGGTAAATGCAATAGTGTCACCACAGCCTGCTGTGACTGAATTGAATAATGTTAAGTACCCAGAATACTATGGAGGAGACCAAGACTCAATCACATGGTTGGAAGAAATGGAACAAGCCCTTGTAATGAATAGAGTAGCCAATGATAGAAAACTAGCAGTAACAGTACCAAGATTAAAAGGAGGAGCTGCTACATGGTGGACTCAAGTCAGATGAAATATAGACCGGTGGAATGATAACACTAATAATAATACAATTGCAGCAAGTTTTGTTCCGAATTTTCAAACAAGATACAGAACTAGAGCAATGGAAGAAGGTTGGGCAGCTGAATTAGAAAAACGAAGACAATTACCTGGAGAGACAGTGGATGCTTTCGCCAAAATTTGTCTTATTTTTTATTCTAGAAAAGCAATTGTCAGACTGAAAGGTTTAATTTTCCCCGTAAATGATGGAATATACTCAGTGTTTGGCATCTATGTCATATTGGAATTGATTTATGGGGGTAGAGATCTGAAAAATGGTCGGGTAACTTAATTGCTAATGTATTTTTTCTTTTAGAAGGTTCTCAGATTTAGCGGAATGAAACAATATAAATAAACCGGATTTGTGAGGTGGATTAGCAATAACATTGCTCTTATATTTTTTATTGAAAAAGACATATATATCCACGATTCATTTTCAAGGTATTGTTTCGACCTACGATTGTTTGCAAGGATGACTATGAAAGCGAAACTACTTATTATGAATTTTTATATGTAGGAATGCAAAAATGAGCAGTACTAATGATCCTGATAAACCAAAATCATCTATATTAGAATCGCCTACAAGGCGTGAATTTCTCTCAGTTGAAGTTGGTAAACAAATCCTTTTATTAGCTTCGTTAATAAAAACATGAATAATATGTTGCACTAATATTTTTTTTTATGTAGTCAAACCAAGGCCTTTGCTAGATGGAATATATGTCAGTTTTTGTGTTGGTGATAATGATGATTTTTGTCTAGATACACAAGAACTAAAAGAAAGTCTCGAGTCGTAAGTTGTGTGATTTTCCTAATTGTTTCAACCACGAAGTGAAACATGGATGAGATATGTAAAAAAAAACATACCGTATTCTCCCGAATATAAGCAACACCATTTTAACGCATTTTAGTCAACAAAACTGTAGGTGTTGCTTATATTCGAGAGATTTTGTTTGTGTTACATTATGTTTCCTTATTTCACATTTGTGTTAAGTTTTAATTCATTTTTTTCCCACACAATGCCAAAAGTCAAACATTCTTCATATTCTGTTGCTGAAAAGCTCCAAGTTTTGCAATATGCAAAACAATATGGTTTAAGATCAGCTGGGCATCATTTTCTTATTTTTTTATTTATTATATAAAAATAAGAAATCAAATAAAAAATGTTTCAAAATATAGGTGTTGCTTATATTTATTTTTCTATTTTTTCTGTTTTTTTGTTGCAAATTCTTACTGTTGCTCATATTCGAGTGTTGCTTATATTCGGGAGAATACGGTAATTAAAAGATATTTTCATGTCTCAGATCCAATTGAAATCATTCAAGAAAATACTCCATGGTATCACAAAATCGAACCACTTGCATCATCTATTTTAAATAGTTGCATGAAATATTACCTTCCTTCCTCAAATTTATCAGTTGATGAAATGATTATTAGATTTTCTGGTAGAAGTCTTCATACTATTAGAATGAAAAATAAACCCACTCCTGAAGGATATAAAGGATTTGCTTTGTGTGATGCAGGGTATACATATAATTTTATGTTCACATCAAGAATAAAAAAGAATTCATTTATTCAAAATATACCGGGAGTGAATCAAACAGGATGTGAAGTTTATCATTTATTAAAAGAATTGCCAACTGGTAAATCTTTTAATATTTACATGGTTAACTATTTTAGTAGCATAAATTTATTTAATTATTTACATGAAAAAAAAATTGGTGCATGTGGTACTGTATGTAAAAATACATCCAAATTTCCAAATGTTCTGAAGACTGATAAAAATTAGATTGGAACATGCTTAGTGGAGTTGTTGTGGATGATTTATTATCAATTTTGTGGATGGACAATGGCCAGTAACAATGTTAAATACAATTCATGAAATTACTAGCACAGAAAATCTAGTAGAAAAAATGCATCATTGTCCAAGGATTACAAGTATAAATGCAGTAAAAGTCAAACAAGTATTTGGGAATGCAGTTAGTAAATCTTTCCCAATTCCAAAAGTAATAGATGATTACAATGCTTATATGGGTGGTGTAGTCATAGCTGATCAGTTACAGGGTTATTATGCTACTCAATTGACAGCCAGGAGAACTTGGATACCAATGTTCTTTTTGTTACTAGATACTGTAATTGTCAATTGTCATTTAATCCATAAAAATTGCAATGGAGATTTGGAACACAAAGACTTTAGAGTAAACTTGGCTTATGATTTAATTGTTTCTGGTTTGGATGAGTTCAAGAAGTAATTCAAGAAATACTTCAAGAACTTCAAGAAATGATAGAACAATTTACACAACAATGAGTAACCTTGTTTTATCTACAGAAAGATTAAGGCTTGGCAGGCACTTCCCTGAAATAGATAAGAGAAAAAGCTTACATGTGGTGCAGATACAAAAGACAAAAAAAAAAGGGAAAATCTTCAGGTAACAAATTAAAATCTATAGTTTACTGTAGTTATGTAAAGTTCACTATGTTTCAAGGATAATAGAAATTGTTTTACAGATTTTCATACACCAGAAATACAATAAATCAAATCACCCAACATCTGTCTTTTAACAAAATTCAATAATAAAATGTGTTCAATTAATTTTATAAAAAATATATTAAAATTTATTTATATAAGGAAAAAAAAAATAAGATAATAATAATAATAATGAAAATATTAAAAATAATAAAATAATAATAATTAAAAAATAAATGTTGTATTTTACATTCAACTCCTTCATCAACTTTATCCTCATTTCTTTTTTTATATTTCCGCTCCTATAAGCTCTTTTTCTCTTAAATGTCTGAGAGCTTTTTTATATTGTAGATGTGTAAGGTAAGGTTGCTTGCTGAAACTCTGCCAAAACTCTAATAAACAATTAGTGTGTAACCTGACAAAACTCTGCTAATTGTCAAAATCCCTAAATGTGAAACTCTGCTGAAACTCTAACAAACAATTAGTGTGTTACCTGCTGAAACTCTGCTGATTGATTTCCAGAGGAGTTTTGGCAAGCAACCATAGTGTAAGAAAGCAAGTTAGATCATTATATATGCTATTTTCATCTGATATGATGATATTATATAATGCCAACTCAGCTTCTGCTCTCATTCAATTACTTATTTCATGTTCAGAATTAATGACTAAGATACCAATTAAGGTATAATTTGGGTATATGGCCATAACACCTTTTAATTCACAAACAGCTAGAAGAAAAGGTTTTGCAGTGCTATAAATTAAAAAAAAAACATTAAAAATATATTTAATAATATATATATTCATATTAAATAACATGATTACTTTCCATTGGACAGCTAGGACCATCATGAATAAACACTCCCATCAAGACAAATCCCATTCACCTGAGTGACCAGTATAGAAGTTTTCAGTCATAACGTCAATGCAGTTTATTGATGATCAGTGCATAACAATAATAATTGCGTGTTTGATTATCAGGTGACTCAATTGAAATGTCCAATCAGATTAATTATAAACCTGATAAGATAATATGAATTGCATTTTTTGACTATAACATTATTTCAATAATATAAAATATATTCTGCTTGATACAAAAACTCTTTAATTCAATTTTTACCATTTACCCCAACTACAATATTATGAGTGTTGGATAAAAATGACTTGCATACAAAAAAAAGTGTAATATTTACATTGGCTTTACACATGCAGCATCTGGAAAAAATGCATCTGCATGAGCCAGCTTGTGAGGAGCTTTACTTTTGAAATAATTCTTTTATTAAATTGTTATTTCCAACACTGGATACAAATGTCCACTATGCTCTACATACCCCTACAAAAAGTATCAACTCACTTGATGACCTGCAAAATAATCAAATAAATGGTTAATAAATACACATTTTTTTACTATATAAGCAAATTGATGTTGTGTTGAAATAATTCTAAAATATCACATTGGACCAATTGTTATTGATAATTTTATGATGTTTAAAAGTCAAATTAAAATCTTTCAAAAAAGTAGCACTTAGAGCTATTTAAGATACAATGTTTTAACACATCTAGGGAACTTAGAAAATATTGTTCTGTTTGTCTCAAATGTATATATATAAATGTTCATAATTATTATAATTATTGATCAAATATTCATAGTGAATTAATACAAAATGTAAAAATAACAAAAAAAATTTCATCCACAATTTGCATAATATTTTACATAAATCATTATTAAATTTACATCAAAAGTATCAAAAAAGTATAAATATTTCATTCATTTATTTCATTTATTCAATATTTTGTCAAGTTTCCTTTTGATTCAATTATAGCTTGAACCCTTCAAGGAATGCTATCTACTAATTTTTGCAAATAATCATGATCAAGATTAGCCCATTCATCAATTAAATAAGAAACTAATTCATTTGTATTTTTTGAAAGAGCAATAGTAGTTTGATCTTAAATGCTTTTATTGTATGAGTTACTTGTGATTGAGAATGACTGAGTGCATCCAATGTCACAAGTGTTTTCATCTGCTTCCCAACATCTATCTAGTTTTGGTTAGATATTTAAGCCGTCCTTTAAAGTTTGTTCACGCATAATGATAATTGTTTTGCATAAAAAATTCATTACGATTTTTTTTACATTTTGTATTAATTCTCCATGAATATTTGATCAATAATTATAATAATTATGAACATTTATATATATACATTTGAGAACAAACAGAACAATATTTTCTAAGTTCCCTAGATGTGTTAAAACATTGTATCTTAAAATAGCTCTAAGTGCTACTTTTTCGAAAAATTTTAATTTGACTTTTAAACATTATAAAATTATCAATAACAATCAGTCCAATGTGATATTTAGAATGTTATGGGAATCATTTCAGCAAACATTTTCTCGCTAATACACAACATCTTACATCTTAAAAAACGAGTATTTGTATATATTCGATTATTTTTGCAGATCATCAAGATCGCCTGATAATAATAATGGTTAGCCCAAATTATTGCGATTTGATTGATTGATATCTGATTATGATTGACAATTAGTATGTAAACAAACGATTTTTGGTTAATTTCTAAAGTTTAAAAAATAAAAATGCTTTTAGAAGTAATTCAAATCATCATTGTAACCTCAAGTTTCATTATCATATTATTAAAATTTAATAAACAAAGCTCAGATTATGACTTTTTAGATGAATCTGGCGATACCTTTGTTGGTACCTCACGTTTCTCGACTCTAAAGAGAGATGTTTTTAAATTAGTTTTTATATTGCTTCAAACCGGCTTGTACACGTTTCTATTTTTTTGGGATTTTAAGAATGACGAGGAAAGCACCAGATTGTCACAGGACGCAATGTTTACATTTTATTGGGTATTGAGTTTTATAATATATTCATGCTTTATTCAGTTTGCAAAGAAATTTTCATATAATTTCAATTACTTTTTTTTTTTTTAAAAAATAAAAAGCTTTACTCGACTATAATATCGATAATTGCTCTTAAGACAAGTTCAAGAAAATTGCGATGGGTTATCAACATCATTCTGACAATAATTTTTACTGTAGCTACTATGTTATCCCTTTTGCAAATGAGAAGAATTTTTTTAATAGAATCAAATGATGCGGAACACACAAAGATACAAATATCAATAGCTGTTTGCAATTTAATATTATCAATATTATTGACATCCATATCTATTACGACGCCTAGAGGGCCAAAATTAATGCATGGTGAAAGACCAGTTAGTGGAATTGTTTATTGTTCAATATGGGATTTCCTAACATTTTCGATGATTTCGCCATTAATAAATAAGGCATCAAAAGGTCCACTCAAAGATTCTGATCTTGAAGAACTTCCATTTGCTAATCGAGCCTTGTCTCTTTACAACAGTATAAAAAAATGGAGGGGTCGCAAATTAGTATACAGGATTTTTAATGCAAACAAAAAAATCATCATTATCCAATTAATTCTTACAATAATTTCGGCTGCGTTATATTATGCACCAATTTACTTATTATTTCAATTCTTGGAATTAATCCAAAAAGAGGAACGTTCCTTTATCAATATTTTTAGTGTTCTTGCACTAATGTTTATAACAAACGTCGTATTACAATTAATTATTGCACAACAATGGTTTATAAGCAGCTCTTTGTTGCAAGCAGGCATCAAAGGTCAAATTTCATCTGAAATATATTCAAAGAGTTTAAAAAGAATTGATTCGCATGCAGCCTCATCCAACGAAGACAATACCGATGATAAAGCCGGGGAAACTTCAAATAACATCGAAGAGGAAAAAGATGGTGATGATGACGACGATGATGATGAAGAGAATGGAACAATCGGTAAAATAACTAATTTGATGTCAGTGGATGTTGGTCGTATATCCGAATTTGCTACTTGGTGGAGTACTGGTTGTATTGATTCACCAATTGAGTTGATTGTTGGACTCTATTTCTTGTATAAATTATTGGGTGTTTCATGTTTATTAGGTTTTTTATTTATCATTTGAATTTTAGAAATTGAAATATTATTTATTACACACACAAAAATAACTTAATTCAAATTTCTAAAATATTTTAATTAGGGTTATTGGTACTAGTAATAACATTACCTATTAATCATTTTACGGCGAAGCGTTATGCAAAAACTCAAGACAATCTAATGAAAACAAGAGATCGTAGAATTAATTTAATGAATGAAGTAATCTTATTTATTTTATATATACATACATACATACATACATATGCATTAATTTGTTATTGTTATAATTTTTATAATTAATTAGCTTCTTCAAGGGATAAGAATGATCAAATTTTTAGGCTGGGATAAAAAATGGGAGGCTCGTGTTTTAGGTAATTTAATTAATTAAGAATTAATCAAGATATTGTTCCTAATAAAGAAATCAATATATATATATTTAATGGAATATCAAATGTTTTATAGATGCACGTGGTGAAGAGCTTGTACAGTTGAAAAAAAATTTCATTTACCTGTCAATTTTTGATTTGTTATGGGCAGCATCGCCAGCTCTTGTGTCGGTTATTTCATTTATTGCATATACAAAAATCATGGGAAATGAACTTACAGTCTCTATAGCATTTACATCAATTTCGTTGTTTAATGAACTAAGATTCGCATTTAATGTTATACCTGAATTTGTTATGGAATTATTTCAATGCTTAATTAGTGTCAATAGAATTGAGAAATTCTTAGAAGAAGATGAGATAGCCATTTCAAATGAAAATTATACAAGTATTGAAAACAAGATAGCTTTTGAAAATGCAACTGTTACCTGGAATAAGAATAAGGCCACTAAGGAAACCGAAACCAATGAAAATGTTGCACCGATTTTCACAATCAACGATTTAAATATTGAATTTCCCATGAAGGAATTAAGCATAATATGTAATGAATCATCACTTTTTTTCTCAACGATTTTTACAAAAACATTATTAATTTAATTATTTATCTATTTTGTATCAAACAATTTAGGTGGACCAACTGGTTCAGGAAAGGTAAATTAAATTCATTATTAAAATTATTAGCGTAATTATTTTACTCGGATTTATCAATTAATTATATAACAATTATGTTTATTGTAGACGTTACTAATGATGTCATTATTAGGAGGTAATATAGAAGACGGATTTATTTTTTTAATGTTTTTCATTTTATAAATCGTATTAAAAAAAAATTTTTTTTTTTGTATAGAATCTAATATTATCAATGGCAAAATATTTTGTCCACGTTATAAGATGGAGCAAACCGATACAGGACTCAGTTCATCTAATTGGATTATCGAAAATAGTACTGCGTATGTAGCACAACAAGCCTGGCTTCAAAATGCAGCAATTCGTGACAACATTTTATTTGGCCTGCCCTACAATGAGTCTCGTTATAAGCAAGTCATTAAGATGTGTGCATTAGAAAAAGATTTTCAGATTTTTGAAGATGGCGATATGACAGAAATTGGTGAAAAGGGAATAACACTTTCTGGTGGTCAGAAACAACGTTGCTCTTTAGCGAGGTATTAATGATAACTATAATAAATTCCTTATAATGTAAAGTGGATCGATTAATTAATATAAACATATTATTTTATTCCGTTATATTTACAACAGAGCAGTTTATTCAAGAGCTCAGATTATCTTTATAGATGATGTTCTTAGTGCTGTAGATGCTCATACTGCTAAACATCTTATGAACGAATGTATATTAGGACCATTGATGAAGGGTCGAACTCGAATTCTCGTTACACATCACGTTGGATTATGCTTATCTGGTGCTTCTTATCTGGTGCGATTTTTTTAGCAGATTCATATACATAGATACCATCTTATTGCTTTTAAAATTTCAAAAAATTAATTGAAATAATTATTCAGGTTGCTATTAATAACGGAAAAATTACGGCATCAAGCAGTGTTTCTGATCTGATTAATACTGGTCAATTGGCTACTGTTTTGGAGGAATCGGATAGCCGAGGAGCATATGATGATATTATTGAATTGGCAGCAGAAAATTTTGATAAAGAAAATGCAAATAAAGATTCATCGCGTATAATTGAATTATCAACAGCTTCTTCAACGACAACGACTCTGATAAATGCAGATGCTGGAGATAATAATGAAGAGTCAATACAGCATAATTATAAACCCAAAGTGTTGGTAGAAGAAGAAAGTATGTCAATAAATCATTATTAAAAATGTTTTTATCACGACATATATTTATTTCTAACATTAATCTATTTGTTTTTAGAACGACCTACAGGCGTTGTTAGATTAAAAATTTACAAAACTTATTTTCGTGCAAATGGGTTCATCATATTTTGGTTGATAGTAGCTCTTCTCTTTATTTTTACGAGGGTATCGCAAGTTGCAGAAAGTGTGTGGTTAAAGGTATGGGCCATGTCTTCCACTAATGATCAGAAAATGAATGTCACTACTATTTTACCCTTCATTTCACTGCCTGACTCGAGCTTGATCGGAGAAAAAACTTTGCATGTTTATGAGAAACACAGCGTTGAATATTATTGTGGGATTTATGTTTTAATAACATTTTCATCGATTTTGATTGGATTTGCACGTTTTTGCTGGCTGTACTTTGGATCATTGAGAGCCTCTAGGAGATTGTACAGAATTTTACTTCATCAAATTATCCGTGCACCATTAAGATTTTTTGATACTACCCCTGTTGGAAGGATTCTTAATAGGTTCAGCAAAGATTTTGAAACAATAGATGACAGGCTTATAAGTAAGATTCTAATTTGACAGATTTTTAATTCTTTTTTAATAATAAAATTTTTTAATAATTTTTTTTCATTTCATTCTTTATAGGTGATCTAGCTTGGTTTCTAAGCAACGTAATTTTTATACAAAAGATATTTATTACCCTATAATTTATTTAAATTAACTTTTGCGTGTATATTTGTGGGATTATTTTCTACTATTTATAGGTTATTATGATGTTTAGCACTGTAATTGTAATAGTCTCCATTACAAAAGGTTTGATTTCTACTGTATATTTTTTGTTTGTGATATGTATGGCTAATCAGTACTATTACTAAAAAAATTTTACATTTAGAACTTGTTATTGCATCTATACTTTTCGGAGGTAAGCTATTGACTTATATTTAGTTTAATTATTCCTATAACGAGACTAAACATATCTATTTTTCTGTCTTCCTATATTTAAGCTTATTTTTTATATATTGGGAATCTATACACAAAAGCTTCAAGAGATCTTAAACGAATGGATTCTGTGATAAGATCGCCTTTATACACACATTTCACTGAAACCATAATGTAAAGATAAGATTACGCATAATCTAAATTTTAAAATTTAATTGATTAATTGATTTATATATATATATATATATATATTTCTTTTATTCTATTTTATTATTTAATAGTGGCATAACAACTATAAGAGCTTTCGGAGTTACAAAACAATTTATGGAAGAAATGATATTTAGGTTTTTATGACAGATTATATAATTTAAAAAAAAAAATTTTTCAAGAAATAAATCAATAATAATATCGTTGTAATTGTTTAGAATTGATAATAATAATCGACCATTTTTTTATGTATGGTTGATCAATCGTTGGTTATCTATTCGATTCAATATTGGAGGTGCATTTTTTATATTTTTGGTTGGTTTATTTATAATAATAAGTAAAGTTGATGCCGGATTGGCCGGATTGTCGTTGTCATTTGCGATGAATTTTACTGAACAAATAATGTGGAGTGTGAGGAAGTATACTTCATTGGAAATGAGTTTGAATTCGGTGGAAAGATATCATGAATTCACTGAAATTCCTCAAGAGGCGCCAGAAATAATTGAACCAAGGCCTCCAGCTAGTTGGCCACATGATGGAGCTATTGATGTACAAAATCTGGAGGTTAGATATGCTCCTGATTTAGAACCTGTATTGCATCATATCTCTTTTTATATAAAAGGTTGTGAAAAGGTTGGACTTGTTGGAAGGTAAATATTAATATAATGGAAAGAAGATTTTATTTATTTAATTTATATAATTGTATGTATTTGTGTATTTATATAATTTTCATAGAACCGGATCTGGAAAATCAACTATAGCTTTATCTTTATTTCGGTTTATTGAACCATCAGATGGGCAAATTTTAATTGATGGAATTGATATATCATCAATTGGTATTGAAGATCTAAGATCTAGAATCACCATTATTCCTCAAGATCCAATACTTTTTTCAGGTTGAAAATAATTTTTATACACGTGATTTATTTTTTAAAAATAAATACTCGTTTATATTTATATTTATATTTATATAGGAACCATAAGATCAAATCTCGATGCATTCTCAGATTATCAAGATGAAGAAATTTATGAATCTTTAAGACGTGTTCATTTATTACCATCATCTGAATCGAATCAAGATTTCACTTTGTCAGGGGATAATATTAATGTATTTAAAAATTTAGATACTCCTATTAGTGAAGGAGGAAAAAATCTTAGTCAAGGGCAAAGACAATTATTATGTTTAGCAAGAGCTTTATTGAGAAGATCAAGAATAATATTAATGGATGAAGCTACAGCGAGGTGTTTATATAATAAAATTTTTAAAGGAGAAATTACTGGTTTTTAAAATTTATTATTTACATTATTATTATCTATTTAGTATAGATTTTAGTATGGATGAAAAAATTCAACAAATGATAAGAACGGAATTTTTGGATTGCACAATATTATGTATTGCGCATCGTTTACGAACTGTTATTGATTATGATAAGATATTAGTTATTGGTAAGAAATCATATAATTAATTAATTTGTTTTTCTTTCTCTTGTTGACTTAAATATATTTAATTTTCATTTTTTTATTAGACCATGGAAAAGTAATAGAATATGACAGGTAGGAAAATAACAATAACAAATATATAAATGGGTTTTTGTATTTGTTTGTAATCCTATAATTTAATAATTATTTCTTCTCACCTTCTCCAAAAAAAAATAGCCCATCCAATTTAATATTGGATTCAAATTCACTTTTTCATCAAATGTGTCAAAGTTCTGGTGAATTTGATTTATTAATGACATTATGTTTAAAGAAAGGCGATAACTAAAAATGTTGTAAAATTTTGAAATGTAAAATAGTTGGTTTATAAATGTATTTTTATATATTATAAAAATAAAACTATTTTGCAATAAAAACTATATCTTTTGAAGATGAATTAATTATATATTAAAAAATAAATTAATTAAATTAATTATATATTAAAAAATAAATTAATTAAATTAATTATATATTAAAAAAAATTAACTATTAATTATCCTTTGGTGGTAAATTTTTTTTCAGCCAATTTCTTTAGGCGGTCTTTCTCTAGAAGTTCTAGTCGAGGTTTGGCTTGAGTCTCGCCGTTATTTAAAGCAGCTTTTAATAATTTTGTTGCTTCACATGTATTTCTGGAAATACCTTTGCCACTTGAATAACAACATCCAGCACGATATTGTCCAAATGCATTATCTTGATTAGCAGAATCCAAATACAATTCAAACGCTTTTTTAATATCTTGTCTACCTTCTGCACCAACTTCGCCATTTTCATAAAGGTGACCTAACCAAGCTTGACCGGTTGGCTCTTTAAGATTATTGGATTTTTCAAAATATTTAGAAGATTCAACTTTATTGATTGGAGTACCTATGCCCACGTAATAAAAAAAACCAATCAAAGTTAGGTAAATAGGCGATGCTTCTTGTATACTGATCAATTCATTGAGAATTTCCAAAGAAGTTACATTCTGTTCTTCAATGGATTTTTGGATATTGTTTGATACCTCCTTACGTTTGGTGAAACTCAAAATATTAAAATTTTCTTTTATAATTTTATCAATAATCTTATCAATAATCTCTTTTTTTGATTTGATTGTTGGAGATGGTAAATTGGATAATTGTTGATAAATTTTCAAATCACTACTGGAATCAGGTAGTTCTTGAGGAATTATATATCTACTTATATTATTCTCTGTGCTCATTGGAGATAATGGGTTGGATGATGGTTGATAAATTTTCAAATCACCACTGGAATCAGGTAGTTCTTGAGGAATTATATATCTACTTATATTCTCTGTGATCATCGGAGATAATGGGTTGGATGATGGTTGATAATTGTTTAAATAACCATTATGAGTATCAGACAGCGTTTGAGGAATTTCAAATTCATTTTCTGAATTGGAGGTTTTAGTTTGTGAATTATCGTTATCATTTGTATACCCGCCAGGGTTTTTATTGATTTCTGATGAATCATCGTCAGTCAAAACATTGATATCAACCTTTTCCAATTCTTCTAGAACCTTAATTAAATAGGGTCTTTTCTTCGGATCATCATTCCAACAATCTTAAAATAGAAATCAGAAAAATGCAAATAATACATATAGTCACAATCACAATAATAAAATAAATACCTTTATAAACATCAACATATTTTTTAGGGGTTCCTTTGATTATTTTTTCTCTAGTACCCTCAATAATTGAGTATACAAGCGCATAGTCACGAGGTACTGATTCGAAAGGAACCCTGCCACTTGATATTTCCCATAATAAAACTCCAACACTATAAGTGTCTGACTTACTATTACGACTATAGGTTTGATTTTTCAAATATTGTGGATCAGAATATTCAACAGAGCCCAAACTTTTAACTAATGAACTTGTGGGATCTATCACACGTTTTGCAATACCAAAATCACTAAGCTTTGCGACTCCGGAATGAATTAAAATATTTTCTGAATGCTAATAATAATAATATGATAATTGATAAATAAAGATATAAATAATTTTTTTTTATTGAAAATAATAAAATATGATTACTTACTAAATCTCTATGAACTATTTTATTATCATGTAAACATGCTACTGCGCTGACAATTTGTTTACCAAGTTTTAATTTAACATCCCAAGATAATTGATTCTTTTTTAAATAACTACGAAGGGTACCACTATCAGCATATTCAACTACTAATATATATTGACTTTCTTTTGGAAAGGACAAAAGATCATTATTTTTGAAAGAAATAAAAAAAAAACCACAAGCTTTTTAATAAATATTTGCCTTTTTTGGTTATTCCATAAAACCGTATTATATTATCGTGTGATTCAACCTTTCGATGTTGTTTCAACTAAATCAATGAACGTTATATTAATAACAAAAATTGTTTAATGACAAATCTGCATGTAAATTTTGGTTTTCAAAAAAAGAGTATGTATAATGTGTTGTGTGAATACTTCGTTGACAAGTAGGTCGTATGACACATTTTTAAGTTCTTTTAAAGCCATTGTTTTATGATAGCGAGTAGATCTAGCACGAAACACTCTACCACAAGCACCCTTCCCGATCAGTTCAAAATCAACAAAAGAGTCATACTCGTAAAGATTTATATGTTCATTTTTTATGGCATCATCTAACCACTCTTTTATTGTAGACATTTTGATTGAAAAAATTTGAAAACCATAATTGGTAATTTTTAAATATCGCTCTCGTGTACAATTAATTGTGTTACATACATAAAAATATTCATTTAAAACAGTCAAATCAGCAAAGCAAAGGAAAAAACTACAAAGATGATTTTTATGTTTATGGGTCAAATTATTGCAAATATGTGTATAGTAAAACCATACATACGCGAAAGTCAACAATTGATAACCATTTAAGGAGTAATTCTATCAAAAAAAAAATCAGATGCACAAAATTCTAGTGGACAACAAACGCTTCTTCGTATAAAAAAATATATCAACATCATAAAAGCATTTGTGGAAGCTGATAATAATAATATACTTTGATAAACTTCAAAACTGGAAAACCCTTACTGCATCTACCCAATCAAAATAAAGAACGGGACGGTTGGTGTAACCAAGGTGGGAATGGGCAATCATTTAGGAAATATTCGTCCAATCTAGTCCAATAAAGAAAACCATTCGGACACGCGAAAAGGACGGGGGACGGGTTCAAGACACACCTCCCCCATCCTTTTCATGTTGAGAAGGACGAGTGAAAAGGGACGGATTTTCTGCGCCATTACTGCCTGTCCCCAATGTTTCCTTAAAAAAAGGACGAGTATTAATAATATTTGCGGTATTGTATTTTTCATGTGTCCGATTATTATTATTTAATTAGCTTTATTTATTATCTATTATGATTTGTATTCTTTATGACTTTATTTTTACATGAGCTTTAGCCTCAATTACATAATAAAAAAATAAAAATCAAGACTTTAGATAAGGAATAAATAGAGGCGGGAAATTATAATAGTCCTATTTTGCAGCCTGTTTACTAAAAATTATGCTTATGACAAACATCTTTCGCCTGCCTTTTTCAAGGTTTGCTCACGAATAATAAAAAGGAGCAATGGGATGGGTGGTAATGGTACAGTAACCCCATTTTCAAGATTCTCCCACAAATAATAGAAAAGGACAATGGGACGGGCAGTAATGGCACAATAACCCGTCCGTTCTTTTCAAATTATAGAAAAGGACAGTGGACGGTTTTCTGTGCCTTGACCACGCCACACCTGTCCCATGTTAGTTACCCGTCCTTTTTTATATTATTTTGCGGAATACCCGTACCACCTTTTCTAGTGTTAATGGGCCAAATTTGAAAAGGACGGGGACGGGCAGGTGTGGCTTGAACCCCGTCCTTTTCCAACATCCTGTTTGCATGGAATAATTGTATATAATTTTTTTCGATAGATAATAATCGGGCTATTATTATTATTATTACTATTTTTTACTGATTTGTTCGAACTGTCCTTTTCTACTAGCACTAGTGATAGTTACAAACCATCATTGACTTTTCGATATCTTTTAAATCATTATAAGAGACCCATAAAGATACTTTCTATTATATTAGTCTTATCTTCATTTGTGTTAATTTTTTTATTATAATTAAATTTCATTGGTCGAACTATATTTAATAATTTCCCAAAATAGTCGTGACGTGACTTTATTTTTATATTTCACTATAAATAATTTTTTAAAAATGAGTCATTGTAGAAGTGAACATAATGAAAGTCAAGGACACTCCCATGATCATGATCATCACGATCACGATCACGATCATGAAGGTCCTGATAGAGGTACCCAGGAATCGTTATATTCACGAATAGATCGAGATAATGTTAGATGTTTGAATGAAAGCGAAATTGAATCAGGGAAAAATGTAATAAAACCTTGGAATGAGAGAAATGACACAGCTAAGGTTTTGTTTGAAAGTTAAAGTCTAACTCAAATTATGTATATTAGGAATTTTTGTAAAAAATATATTTGGCCTTATTAATAATAAAAGATTGTTACTTCAGTTTGTGGAAAGTGATTCAGATGAACAATTGATCCTTTTAATTCCGTAAGAAAACATTCGCTATCTTCCTAAATACATCTAATTATTGTAGGAGAATAATTAATTAATACATTCTGTATAATGTAGATTTACTGGTAGCGTTAAGTTAAAATCAATCTTTATTAAATCTGATTCAGGAGAAGATTGTCCACGTTTATTGAAAGTGTATGTTTGTTTGCTATTTATTACTGGATTTGTTATCAGTTAATTTAACAATATATTGATGGGTGGATTGATTTTTTAATTTTCATATAATATTAAGTTACATTAATCGTGAAGATATTGATTTTGATAATGTTGAAAGTTTCACTGCAACTCAAGAATGGGAATTGATTCAAACAAATGATGTAGCTGAATATCAAACTAGGTTGATTATATTGATTTTTTCCTCTCATAAAAAAAAAATATAAAAAAGTTAACAAAAAGTTTTTTTTACCAAAAAAACCCCATTTAAGAATTACCAAAATGTATAATGTAAGAAATATAACTTTATATTTCCAAGAAAATTACGGAGGTGAAACTACAAAATTGTTTTATGTTGGATTTAAAGGAGAATGGACTGAGGTTAGTGGCTATTATTTATTATTATTAAAAATAGAAAATATTCCAAAAAAAAAAATTTAATTTCAATTTTTTCAACTTTAGATCAAGAAAGACCATGTTATAACTTTATATGAAGCAGCTCCAAATCCTGCTGATCATAAAAAGTCAATTAATGACAATATGGTTAACCATACGATTAATTAATGTGAAATTAAAATTCTTTGTTAAATTATATAAAAAATTTAAAAGATGAAGTAAAAATCAACTATACAATAAAATTGTTAAAAAAAGATTATTCGTCAAAAAAATTATGGCTTTATAGAATATTGATAATTGAAACATCACAATAAATTAATAGATATGCTTAGCATTCGATTTTACCTCTAGAACAAGAGGAATTCATGTAAATTTTGAATTTTTCTGCTTGACTTCAGTATTTGTGCTATACTATTTGCACACAACTGCGCGGTTCTATTGATGAATGATAAAGAAGTTTCATATTCATGGTCTTGTCTCCAAGATTTACTTTTTTATGAGGTTTAAAATCTATCTAATCTATATGTTATCAAGTAGAAAAATAAGTTATGTATAAATAAACCTTGGTTTTGGATCTGCCACTATTTGGATGACAATCCTATAAATATAAAAATTCAAAAAGTTTTTATACAAAAAAAAAATGATCGATAATAATAATGATGATAATGATAATGATAATAATAATAAAAATATAAGCGCTAGTAGTAATAATACTAATGGTAACGGTAACAGCAACGGCAACGGTAATGGTAATATTAACCCTCAACGCACAATATTTAATAAAGATGATTTTATAAAGGTTTTAAAGGTTTGAATTTTTAACCAAGTAAAAAAAAAATTATTTATTTATCTATTTAAAAATTAAAGATATTTGATTTAAATAGAATTTAACTATTGAAGATTTTAAAAATATTGGGAAAATACCTTGTGCCCGTGATAGTTTTTTATATGGAGTTAGTGGGGGTATTGGTGTAGGAGCCTTCAAATATTATTTACAAAAACGTAAAATAATTTTACTTTTAAAAAAAATAAGAGTATACAAAATTTATACATTTATATTTATTTATTTGATTTATTTGATTTTTAGGTAATTTTTGGACAGTTTCAAATTGGGCATTTGGAGCATTTAGTTTAATTGCAATTGGATCATGGTGATAATATATATATATATATTTTTAATTGTATTTATAAAAAAAATTTTTTTAAAAAAATTTTTTTTTGTTATTAGGGAGACTTGTAGATATAAAAAAGCAAAAGAATTTAAAAATATTAAAGTAATATTAAAACAAAGGAAAAATCAACAATCTGAAGAAACACAGTAAACTTTTATTTAATTAATTGATTAAGGTTCTTTCTTTTTAAATGAAGAAAAATAAATAAATTATATAGTATATAATGTACAAATATATAAGAATATATATTGTGTAAATATGCCAATGTCTGTGAATATTAAGATTGAAAGATAGGTTATTATGAGGAAATCACCAAACTTAAATTTCCCCTTTTTAAGATTCATTGTTTTTATGTGATTGCTAACTATTATAAACCATTCAAAAGCACCTTGATTTGTCATTGTAGCTAGTTGAAGAATCATGTCTTTTAACAAATATTTAGACTTTTGCATGCCAATTCATCAGTTGGATTTAAATGTATTTGTATTTCACGAATGTAGTCTTTACAACAACTGACAATTTAACCTTTTCTTTTTTCCCTATCTAATTAATTTATTTTTGAAAATTGTGTTAAATTTCATTATTAATATTAATAAAATAATTTAAAACACTCCAGTAAACTAAAAAAACGTGACTCTAAAAAAAAAACCAACTTTGATATAAAATCTTTTTAGAAAAAATTTTCAAGATACGAGGTGTTCAAGAGTTCCTAGATAAATTAAATCATCGCCATCAACATCAGAAAATGAAATTACCATGTCAAATTCTGCCAATGAATCTTCAAGTCCCATAAACCATTTACATTTGTATTGGGGAATTTGCGATGCAGAAAGTCATGCCAATCATAAAAATCAAGAGAAATTAGATCTTACTACTATTTTGGTGAAGCTCTGAAAAACCGACTTGATAGCATCTTGACTAAAAATCAAGTTCCTCTGCATTCAGCACAGGTAATATTAAATAGAGAAGTTAGGCAATAACTTCCTGTAGACATTTCTAATTCCAATTTGCAAAAAAAGTAAGAAAAATTTATGAACTTTGTATGGTCAATCTTTTATCACGCGATAATAATAAGAGAACGCAACGTGTAGTGGGCTTTTGCCAGCAATGTGTAAAATTCAATGGTAACACAATAATCAAAAAAAAATAAATCTATAAAAATATGTAATAATTAATTTTCTTTAACATTTGTAAGTTGTTGTTTCTCATTTTTTTACTTTCTCATGCTAAATCTTCTATTTCTGGTTCATATTTTTATTAAATTTTGTAAATTAATTACACGGATTTTTGTTTTTTGCACAAATTTTTAGTCACACAGATTCTGTGCAACGTGGTCTGCAATGCCGGGTGTAACATTACGCACCAATCAAATTTTTAATTTTTTGAGATAGTTTCTAAATTTGTACTATATAGTTACGCAACGAAATTTTAACACTGATACTGAGCGTGGTACGCGCCCGTTGAATCCATATTAATTAATATCTTTTCTATAAAATTTTCGTAGATATTTCTTGGATTTTTTTACTTTCAAAAAAGAGACGATATTAAAAATTCGAACAATAACTCGAACAATAATCCGTTTTATAATATATCAACAATAAAGCAGGCCTGATGACATTCTGAAGATATCTAACAGAGAATCTAAATAGTTTTGTAATACAATCTAAATATTAGTTTTTGAAATTTTAAAAAAATCTAAAGTGATCGATGAATAAGTGCAATACTGCCAGACTCCATATAAATCTGAGTTATACGTCAGTAGATTAGTAACTGGGGATAGTGATAAATATGATTAATCTAATGATGGTAATAATATTAAGATTTCATTATGATATGTATAGTTTAACAAGATTAAATAAACTCCCAAAAGTTTTGTCATTGTTATAACAATTAGTAGAAAAATTTTTTTAAAACATTAATAATAAAAAATAAAATTTTAATCATCTATTTATTGTAAAAAAATTAATTTTATAAAATGATTATTTAATTAGTTATATTGTCAATTATTAAAATATTTCAATTTATGCTAAAAAAATATATATATATATATAATTAATTGATTGTTTGATTGATTAAATTAATAAAAATTAAAATATAATAAGGTATTAATTTGATACATACAAGTTCCTGTAAATGAACCTGAAGGATATTCTTTTGTAGAAGGTATGAAAGGACGTGGTGTAGGAAAATCAGTCGAAGGATGAAACTCCCATCGTCCTTCTTTTGTTGGTGGCTCTTTTAATTCTTTTATTGGCAGTTCTTTTGTTGGTGGTGATTTTGTTTGCGGTGATTTGGCTGGTGATTTTGCTCGTGGTGATTTTGCTGGCAGTAGTTCTTTTGCTAATAACAATAATTTAATTGAGATTAGAATTTAAAAGATTCAAGATAATCATCAAGACTTGAAATATGATTAGCTATCAAAATAATTAGAATACACTTACATGAATGATTTACAGGTTTATTAGGAAGTATAGGTGCTGGTTTTTTACTAGTTGGGGGAAGTGGAGGTGGTACTGCTCGTTCACTCTTTTTAGTTTGTTGTGATGATGGCGTATTCCGTGATGGTAATGGTGGTGCAGTTGCTGTTGTTGCTGTTGATGATGGTCTTGCTGGTGTTGTTGGTGGTGCACGTAAAGGTGTACGTGTTGTTGGTGTACGGGCAGGCAATTGAGGAGCAATAGGTGTTGAACGATTAGGTAATGATATACGATTATCTGCACTTGTAGCTCTTGGTCGTCCACCTGGTAATGGAGGTGGTGCTGCTAAACCTTTTCATAGTTTTATAAAATTCATAAATAATCATCATCATTATTATTTCATCATTACCATTCAAGAGTAAATAAATTTTCTCAAAAAATCATTCAACTAACTAATTAATAAAATTGCTTACTATTAGATTCTCTGCCAGTTTCTACACCACCACGGCTTTTTAATTTTGGAATTCCACCTGCAAACAAACCACCAAGATTAGCAGTAGCTGTAGACGAATTAATTTGCTTATTGTCGCTGGTATTAGAGGCACTTAATGATCGACGCCTATTAACTGCTTGTGCTGTTCGTGTGTTTGATGATTTTTTTTCTACTAAATTAAATATATATTTTATAGATCAAAAATCAAAACTTTTTACATGTAGAAATTGTAATTGTGAAATCTTTGATAAAATGATTATATACATTTTTTGTAACTTACCGTCTATGATTGGAGCAGATCTATCATTTGTTACAGCTTTTTTCAATTTACTTCCTTTTTGAATATCTGAAAGTAATGCATTTCTGCCACCTAGGGCTGCTGGTGATGCATTTTTTTTTGAGGATGGCGGTGGTGGTGGAGGTGGTGGTGGAGGTCCGGCCATATTTATTTATTTTTGTATTTTTATTGTTGTTGTTATATAACGAAGAAATCAAAATAAAAAATTATATATATATATATATATATAGCTTTTGATTTTTTTTTATTAATAATAAATAAGCCAAGTTTGTGCGCCGCCAAGTTTGTAAATAAATAAAAATAGTTACACGAACTCTACCACTATATTCTGGTAGATTCCAAGACATTATGTCACAGGGGATCAAATTAACTAAAATTATTATTACCAAGTAAATAGAAACCAAATAAAAAGCACCCAGACAAGTTGTATCACGCACGTTATATAATAATAACAGATTATAAGTTTTGAAAATAAATTCCGTTATTCAAATCAAAGTTTTGTTATTAGCAGCTAACTCGGACATTGTCAGATATGTTGGTGATCTTTGTCTACAAACATAATTAAAAATTGATTGATATTAAGAAGATTCATTCATTATAAGCTTACCTCTTTTTTGGTTTAGATGACCTAGCTAGATATAACGAATTTTTCCAATCTTTTTCCTGATATAATTGACACTAAGAAATCTCTTCACAAGAAAACGGTATTCATCATTTCTTGGGAAAGTCCTTTCAACACTTGGCAATCAGACCGCCAATATACCTACCTACCTATTGGTAATTTAAACATACATTCAATCACATGATTAGCCATGCCAATGCTAATTCAGCTTTTTTTAGTAAAGCTGATGAATGACATGAAAAAAGGGTAGGACATTGTAATTATTGTTACACGTGTCATAATATGTTACATAATGTGTCACTTTTGACTCTTGTCTTGATTAGAATAACTTTGACTTTTGACATTAGCAATTTGGGCTGAATGTATAGGTATAACCATAGACGTGTAGCTTTCTGGACATTACCTGGTGGTGAGATTCCTCAATACATTTGTATTAGTTACATTTATGACGTCGATAAAATCTGTAATACTTTTGCTGTGATTATCTTTGCACATTGAACCGGAATTCTTACCCAATCCTAACTTTCCTCCACATGAAGCCCTGCTGTTAGATAAATAAATATGTGTATTGCACTTCTTTTTTTCACACATCAAGGAAACTTACAATAGAAATAAAGTTACATGTGGCTTTACCGATCTTCACGTCTTAGACTGTGTTTATTTTCTTCTTTATCAGCTTCGGATTGGTTTACACTGGTAAGGAGGCTATTATTATTGTTAAATATTGTCTCAAAAGCAATCCATGGATAATTATCGGGTTATTTCAAAGGTATTTATTATTAATATAATTAACTTATTTTTAAAATTTTAGATAATTCTTGCAAAAGAGAGAAATGATAATAATAAAAGTATGCAAACAACTAAAACCATCGATTTATTATTTTAACTTTCGGGAATTTTAACACAAGTTGATACTAATTTAGCAAGAGTTTTACGTATGACCTATTTTTTTCATTATGTGAAAGGAAAAAAAAAAGTATTCATTTAATTCTAATATATATAAAAACTGTATGAAAAATATATGTTTACACTTACACCACCATTAACAGGCAAAGGTTTCCCATCCCACAAATCTGAATGTTTCTTAATTTTCTTCCCTTGACCATCATTATCATTATTAAATTCCAGTATAACAACACTATTTTGTACTTTGTTTTTTTTGAGTAATGGCAAAGTGTAACATTGATTAAAACTAAATTTTAGTATATTCGAATCATTCTGTTGGACTTCAAGAGTTTCTGTTACAGAATTTGTAAATAGTTTTGGCATTCCATAAAATTGAGCTTTGATATTTTTGATTCCTGTACAGTACATGAGTGGATCTTCAAATCTAATTTGCAAAAATATATTTATTAGAACCGGATATGTATATAAATATATGTGCTCTCTTTTTCATTCGCTCACGCATACTTACATGACATCATTAGAGTAGTGATTGAATTTTTCTTCAGATGGTTTGCAAGAATATAAATCCAAAATATCTGATACAATTTTTTCTCTTTCTTGATTTAAAGGAGGAATATTCGAAACTAAGTAATTATTAGGTTTGCTAGTATCTGGTAAATTCTTTGTCTCATTGCCATTATGAATATTATCGTTATTCACAATGGTATTGGTATTATCACTAGTTGTTGTAGCTGTTGTTGATGATTTATTTTCCATTTATTATATATAATTAAAATAAATTCATTATTATTTATTACAGTATTTATTAATAAATGTGTGAGCAGTGGAGCGTGTAACACAAATTAAAATTTGCAACACAACTATATTTTCCATCCGCAGAATTATACAAATAGAAAGGTGTTTGACTAAAGTTGAGCTAGCCAATGGTTGACATTGATTGTGTGAAAATATTTGGCTGCCTGTTTTCATTTGCTGCCTTGCAATATAATGAAGATTTCGTCATCTCTATTCCAGACTGTGTTACAATTTTTGCAGTTGAGCACAAAATGCAGAGGACTACCAAGTCTTCCATCAATCTTTTTACATATATTTTCTAATCTCATCATATTGCATTTTGAAGATCTAAACTCGGAATCTTTATAACCAAGACCTGCATCACCAAGGGGTCATGATCCCAACAAAAAATTATTGTTGCATTTGGTGATGTAATGTTTAACCCTTGCATGAAAGGAAAAAGGGCAGGTGTATGTAGGATTCTTTACAAGGAACTTTGTTGCCTGGAACATCTTTGTTGTCTTGCCATTTTTGAGTTGGTTGTGATTGTATTGGTGGTAGTGATAATAGTTTCATTGGCTGTAATGTTTAGTTCCACTTTTATCTTATTAAAATCTCTTAAAAAAATGGTTTAATGTTTGGGTGTTAATTTCAATATAATGTCATTGGTGCAAATATAAAGGGCATAATGTGTATAACCTTATATTTCTACAAGAGGTCTACATTTTAGGTTTGAAGTTGTTGTTTTTTATTTTACAGGGGTTTTCCAATCAACTTGATATATAATTTTTTGATGTGATAACTTAAAATGCTGGAAATATCATAGTTTACATTACAAGTGCAATTACAAATAATAGTTGTGATTTTTTTCATTGATGACTTTGATAATTGTTTGTTCTTCTTTCTGCTCCAACAGTAACAACACCACCACTTTCTTGGATTTGAATCAGAACCAGAGTTATCAATTTGATGTAAAACTTGTCTTTTTGTCAGTTACAGGAGTAAGTCCAAGATTAATATTATCAGCAATTGTCATTGCTATTTTTTTCAATTGGTTTTGGCTAGTCAGGAGATCCACCAGCTCAATCATCATAGCCAACCTTTTGATATATTTCTCTCTATCAGCAGCTATACTGGTATGAAGTCAAGAGGAGATATATTGTAATGACTTTTCAGCAAAATTAGAAACCAGGTGGTTATGTAAATCTTTACTGGAATTTTCTGCTGATGATGATAGAGCATTCCAGATACCAGCAACTTTAGTAACATTAAAGTCGACGGGGCAAAGAACTAAACACACACTATATGTTATCTTTAGTTGTTTCAAAACTGATGTAGGTAATCCACCTGGTTGGTTGTTGATTTGCAAACTAATTTCATACAGGCATAAAAAAAATTTTGTCAACAGCATTCCATTGCAATGCTACCCAATTCTTCCATATATCCAACAAAATGACAATTTGCAAGTAACATTGATTTATGTGTGACATCACAAATTTGCTCCACAGCAAAAAATTTTTTTTCTTGTATTCTTACAAGCCTTTGCATAACTGGATCTAATTATAAATAGTTCAAAATCCTTGTCCAAAGTTTTTATTGCTTCTTTTTTTTTTTATTTAGAATTTGGTATGAACATTTTGAACTAGATTCCTAGGAATGTGTGGTGTGAACAGGATTGTTTTTTAAATAGGCAAATTGAGCACAACTTTTGCCCCTTTTCTTTAGTTTTTTGTGATTTGTTTTCTGCAATACATTCTATTTTTTTAAAAAATTTTTGTGAATTAACAAGAGCCAAATGGCCACTCTTTCCATTTTATTAAATAAAATAAATAAATGTCTTACTAATAATACTATTGTAATTAAATTAAATTCTATTATAGCTATTAAATTTTTAAACAATAAATCCAAAATATCTAAACAAATTGAGAGTATATTGAATGTTATACAAGTAATTATTCATAGTATTTTGATCAAGTCAAAATAAAAAATAGTGGTAATTATAAAAAAAATTATTAATATAAAGCTCAGAATGATCCAGGTTCGGTTTGGGTTCGGGTTGTTGGTTGGGGACCGAACCGAAATCTGAATACTTTTAGGCTGTACCAATTATACTTGAGTCAAAATTCGTGGCGTAAACATGTTTCATGATAATTTCAGAATTTATTAGCTAATAAACCCTTTTTGGCTATGAAACATTGATGTTACATTAAAAATTAAAAAAATTAGTTTTCATGTAATAAATAAAGAATTTTAATTAATTCATACATATGGACAATAGAAAGGGGGCAAACGTCAAAAATCATGATTTTGAGTTGATGCCATATATATATGTAACTCGTTGCAAGGAACAATTTTAGCTTAAGAACAATACCCACATTACTTAATAAAATTTTGAGATATTTTCTGTTAAAGTTTTTAAAAACAATAGGTAATTACTTGAAATGCAGATCTTTTTTTTCGATTATCTCAAAATCGTGATTTTGACGTTTGGTCCCTTTCTATTGTCCATGCCCCATTTAGGCTCCTAAACTAGTGACGAAACTTAAAAAGTTTATATTGTGATAAAATGGGTTTATCGAAGTACCGTCCAATCGTATGTCTGACATGTGACCTATATAGTCTTTTTATATTCGCATTTTTATTATTTTACATTTAATATTTTTATTGACCATATGTATCCTTTGTTATAAACCATTAAATTGTCATCCAATCCAATCGGCATAGTAAAAAAATTTTAATTAATTTGGATTGACTTATTGGACTGGAAAGTTTGGCGTGACAACTATTTAATTTTAGGAAAAGATTGGGATTGGCGAATTGATCATAAAAAAATCCCATTCTAAAAATTATGCTGCTCCAATTGAGGAATCAGAAATACAATAGAAAATAACAAATCTTTTATAGGGGACTCTGAAAGCCAGGTTCAATAGAATGCGGTGGATGGGAATGCTGAATTAGAAGGGTAAGAACTAAATGGATTAGCAGGTTCAATAGGGTCAACTGAAAGAATCAAAAGAACAAATTAATTTTGACAAATATCTAAAATATAAATTCCTTTATATACAAATTTTATGATCCAAATTTGATTAAGACGTCTAGTATTCCTTACATTATATCATTTTAAGATTAAAACACCCATCTATAAATATAACGTATTTTTTTTCCGAAATTTTCACACTGACCCAAAGTATTTTTTTTTTTTTTTAAACAATGAAAAACCCCCACTCTAATATCCCAAATAACAAATTTAATAATAATAATGTCAACTTTTAATAACTTTCTTTTTTAGGAATTTATGATATCTTTTTAAATAAGCACCATAAGTACTGCCTCTAATTGTAAATACTTCAAAGCCATTAGCTGCTACCATAAGATCAGTTAAAGGTATTAAAAAGCGACTCATTACTTTATTATCTACAGGGTTTATGAGAGATCCATAAGGTTCAAGTTGATCTCTGAAATCAGAGAGCATTCTTAGACAAGGAAATTTATCCAGAATCACTTTCATGGATTCGTTTTCCCTACCAACATCACTAGCTACATATAAATTTCTCTTTGTGATTTCACCCTTGTCAATAGGTGGACATTCATTCTTCAGTGATGTTAAATGTGGAGGAATTTCTGGGTATTTTTTATCAATTTGCATAACTAAATCAGTAAAATGTTCTTTACTTTTTTCTGCATAAACGTTGTCACCGCCTCTAGCATGAGCTGAAATATAATCATCAACACCACTCATTTTTTCTACTATACTAGACACCACACTTAAAATTACTGGATTATTTGGTACAAATGATTCTTGTAATTTTTTAAAGAAGATTTTTGATGATTCCAAACCTTTATGGATTCTTCCTGATCCAAATAAACTACCAAAGTATATAAGCTTTTCAGGACGTTTCTTGAATAGTTGTAATGATTCTAACAATCCATTAGTCTTGATGTGTGGTTTTTCTTCAGTGTCGTACATTCGATCATATTCATAGGTAAAATCGAAATAAATTTCTTTCCTTGGTTCAGTGATATTTAACATTTCAATAACTGTTTCAAGGTCGAAATTTGGTGCATTTATGGTTTTGAGGTTTTGTCTGATAAATGTAAAGTCAAATAGTTGATCATATGGATAAAGTGTGTATGAATTATGAAATGATTCGCATTTTTGTCTTTCTCTTTTTTTTTTTATATTTCCACAAATTGAATCTACAGGTTCATCTCTTAGATATTTCGACAATTTAGTCATCCTACCAAATGATACTCTGAACTTAGTTAGAAGTAAGGCAGGTGGTACGATTAATGTCCTATTTAGGATCCAAGCAACAAATATAGCATTTTCTAATCCTATCCTTTGATTATGAAGTCCACTATGAGGTATAAATGTTATATATTTTTCGCTTTCATCACCATATATTTCATTTAAGTTGTCGTCATTATAATTAGTTCCATTAATATTATCAACTGTTGTATTATTATTATAATTATCGATGTTGATGGAGTTCTCGTTGTTGGTTGTTGATGTTGTTGATGTTGATGTTAGCGTTGATGTTAATGGTGGTGGTGATGGTGATGATGATGATGATGATGGTGATGGTGATGGTGGTGATGGTGATGGTGGTGGTGATGATGATGATGATGATGATGATGGTGGTGGTATGAATATATTTATTGCAATATAAAATGTAAAAATTATTAATAAAATATATAATTTTTTTATTTTTTTATTTTTATTAAGTGAATGGTTGCGGTTATATGTGTTATATGTGTTATCAAAGTCGGTGTTAATATCAACATTGCAATCTTCTTCAGAATTTAATAATGGAGTTAACGAAGTCATTTTTTTTTCAAAAAAAAATGAACAAGTTTTTGATTAATTTTTCTTGACGAAACGAAAAAATTTAATTATTGTTCCAGACAAATATGCTTGTTTTTTATGTTAAATCATTGAAACGTAGCCAACATTTTATTCATTTACAGGAAAAGAATCGTTTCATATGGGCAAATTTTTGACAACACGTCTTCTTTTCAATGGAATTAACATAACAAATAGAATCTCTAATAATTATATTTGGACTAGACCTGTTAGAAAAATTTCTTTGTTCGTATGAATCGTTCGTTAGATAAATGATTAACATGTCCAATAATAATAATAAGGAAAATATTTCTTAGGTATCACTTAAGATTAATTTGCTAAATACGGTGCAGATCATCTTCAAAATACTAAAAAAGTTTGAGAAGTTTTATTTGTTCGTTAAAAATGTTTACTATTTTTTTATATGTTCGTTAAACTTTCAAAATATAGTAACACGAAAATTATTAGTCAAACCTTAATAAACCGATTTTCGCTTTATAACGATGCAAAATTGGTTAACCGAATCATAATAAAAATCGTTTCGTTAAGCCGAATTTTATTATAATTTCTACTTTACTTGATAAACCGAACTCAATGGTTTGTACAAAATAATAAAAATGCAACTTTATAAGCCGAATATGATCATAAACTGGTTTTAAAATTCGTATTATAATGATAAAATTCTGCTTAAAATAATGTCAATAAAAAAGCACGAAAATTAGAATTTTTGAATAATATTGAAGTTGATAATGTTGAAATTGAAGTTTAAGTTGATACTAAGTGAGAAAATCGTGAAGTTCAAGATTTAATTAACTAACTCCCATTTGATGATTCATTTTAGTGGACGAGTATTTAAATATTGAGAATAACATGGTTGCAGGTGAATTAGTAATGGAAGATGAGTATATTATCGTATTAATTCAACCAACAGAAATAGATGAGCAACAAGATGAAACCTTTATTCCAAAAATTTCTATTACAGATACCATATGGAATTTATTAAATATTTTAGTATACCCTCTAAGTGATTTTGATGTATGCGAAGATGAATTAAAGTGCATTCGTACTCTTGGAAAAAAATTATTAAGTCATAAGATTAATAGTTCAGCGCAACAATTTTTTAGATAAATATTTTTTTTTAGAATAATTTGTAAAATTTATATTTTATAACGAATTGTTTGTGATTCCCAAAAGTTCGGTTTATCGAGGTTTGACTGTATATGCATTTCTGAAAAACAAAATTTTTTGATCCCTTCTTTAAAGCCGAATTGAATGGTGGCGGTTTTTTAAAAATCCAACATGTGGATCACATGATATTTCAAAGCTTTAAAACCGGGAAATATTTTTTATATAATATTTTATTAGTTTTTCAATATAAAAATAACATTATGCAGTAAGTTTTAATTGAACTGTCAACTATAAATCATTTACTATTTATTTTATTGATTTCCTGTGATCCATAAATTACTTTTTACCAGTGTTGGCAATGACAGTTATTTAACTTTGAATCATCAGTTAAATAACCGGTCCAAAAGTTAAAATAACTGTCGTTGCCAACACTGCATACTGCCTAACATAAGTTGTTTTGTATTATCTTATTTTAAACTATTAATATTGATAGCTAATTGTAAAAATTACCTGGTGGATTTTTTAAATATTGAATCACTTTTTCTAAACTATTCCACTTCTTCCTCTTCATCAGAATCATCAACCTCAGAATTTGGCTCCACTGCTCTAATAATTTCTTCATCAGTAAAAAAAAAAAAAAGAGGATAATGTACAAACATTAATTTTATTGTTAAAAAAAGAATAGAATATTGCCGCCATCAAAAAAAGGATAATGCACAAACCAATTTATTGTTAACACATCACCATTTAGAGAACACATTAACATTAACCATTAATGTAAAAGATTGCATATAACAAATAGTGAGTGACCCTGCTAATATCTTCAATATATTTCTCTATTATTTCCTGTTCACATTTTCCAGCAGAAGCCTTCCTCCTATCTGAGTCAGGTACATATAACTTTTTTATCCTAATTGCATTTCTTGGTGGATGCCCATTTAGCTGTTATTCTCTATATTACCAATTCAGGCATGCTATTCAATATTTCAATGAGTCCCTCCTTCCTAGCTAGCTTTCACGATTAACTTCTGGTATTACTTAGGGTTTTGCCTAACACCTCTTTTAAAATAGAATAAAATAAAAGAAATAAATATATACAAATATATTTAGCAAAGGCATCCACCTGGTAAGATAGTAAAAATATCATTATAAAAATATAAAATTTGAGGACAATGATGAGGACAAGGACAGTTTTTATTTTATTATTATTAGATATATGAATGATTGTTAATATGAATGACCATACATGAAGTTAAGAAAATTATAACATTATTTATACATGTTAAAGGTTCATCTAGTTCCCTGATTTCTGGAACTCTTTAATCTGTTCTAATTAAATGTATTCCTTAAAATAATTTAAACCTTTCTTTTAAAGTGAATGAATGATTTGAATTCAGAATCAAAGAAATAGAATGTTAGAATAATCTTTCTTGTGAGTTAATTATGTTATTGGTTCATTATGTTGATTGAGCAACACTTTGTTTTATATGAATGGGACCAGGAAAAGATCATGCAGTGCAGAACATAAGGGGGGAGCACTTATCTCTAAGTCCCAAGCTTGGGACTTGGACACAGGGAACACTTATAGAGGGTCGACTGTAGTATTAGTCAATAAAAATCAGATATATAAAGTTAAATTTTGCTTTCTTATTAATTACAAAATAACTTTGCTTTAAAATAAATTCTTTTTACTTCTTATTAATTAATTACAAAATGATTTTAGAAACTATATGCAGTCTTCTTCTGTAAACTGTAACTCATCATCACAACCAATTTCTTCTACAAATGTAAGAAGATATGAGCCATTCTGGGATGAATTCATCAAAGGACTCACAAACTGGTGTTAGCTACCCTTGAAAAATAATGGTGAATCATTGTGATCAAGTCAATGGGATAACCATTTAAAAGACCTCCTGCTCTTGGGTCATGAATTACAGCTGACTAAACTAAACCAACACCCTAGAGATTTAAATAATCTTCCTATTTTACCACATAGTTTTAAAGAAGATGTAATTTCTTTTTCTATAAATGAGAATTTAACTCCATAATCATCTCTTGTGAATGTAGATCCAATTTTATCATCTTTTGAAAAATGAAAGCACTTAAAATCAGACTTTATCTCGATCCCAGAGGATAAACAAAAAAATGTTAAAATGGGCCAGTGCTGCACGTTGTACATACAATCAATGCTTGGCTGCAATCAATTCAAACAGGAAAAAGAAATTTAAAGCATGTTTACAAATTATATCATTGGATCAGAAAGATTTACATCAATACTAACATCAAATAGGCTCTTGATACTCTTCATTGGAACTTTTGAACAATTATAAATCAAGATCTAAAAAAGACAAAATGCAGTCAATTGTCATTCCGTTAAGATAATAACAAATTAATTTTCATTCATCGATGGTGTTAGATCAAATGAGGAAATATAAGCCACCTTACTGAAATTAAGGCTGATAACCAAGCTCTTAAATTTTCAGCTGTAGAATGGGATTCTATTCATGGTAAAGCTAATAAGCGTAAATGTTATAAGCTCCGTCAATGCATGCTTCGAATCCACAGAAAAATCTGTAATCTTATCGATGAATGCTAGCAAAATGGTTATGTGAGAACCATGTAGTTTTACTTCCTGAGTTTAAAACACAAAACATGGTTAAAAATGACGGTAGTTTTGGAAAATCCAAACAAATGATGACCTGGTCACATTACCGATTTAAAAACATTTGATTCATAAGCCGTATGAGTATCCTTGGTGCAAGGTGGTCGGTCATCTGCACTAAGGAGCATACTATTAGAATTTGTGGATGTTAACTTTGGCGGCCAAAAGACTTTTAAATGTACATCTATCATTGACAGAGATGTAAACGGAGCCTGTGATATACTTTTAAAATGTGTTGCGGAAACGTGCGAGAATCTTTCGTGACGTTGGGGCTTACACCTAAACACCTTATTGCAGAAGGACTTGTAGGTTCGGTATAAGAGGTTATAATTATTTATTTTTAACACAAATTTATTGTTTTGGTTTTATCCTAATTAAAATTTTGTTTGTTTGACAACAAGCTTACAATGAGAAAGCAAAATAGGGCATTGAGATTTTCAGTTGTGCTTCCGAATTTTGCAGAAAATGTCGCTCAAAAACTCAATTAATAGTGCAAGACATCAAATGCTATGCCAAGTGCCAAATTTTCAAATTAATGATATTCTTTGGTGTCACAATATTATAAAAACATACGACTCGCTTATATACTAATCTATTCAGCCAA